AGGGAAGGCGTACTCTTGGAACACCTATCAGTTGGTCACCCAACCCATCGATAACGTGAATTAGTCTGTTCTTTTTGATAGGTAAGGCTTCTATTTCAATTATACACATAACTTCCATATTTTTACGGAAAAAATCCATAATTCAAAAAAACGGAGATCCCCGTTAAAAAAAAGGACAGTCTCCGTTTAATTTCCGTATTTTTACGGAGTTTTCTGACAGTGTAAGTGCAGGGGGTGGCAACGGCCTAGGGCGAGCGTGAAGCGATGCTCGCGCCGTCAGTGCAGAGGTTGCGCACTAGTACGAGATCATGAAAACTAGACAGTGTTTTTCAAAACGCTTCGCACCGATGGAAAGGGCTTGAAATTTAGGGTGCATTTGGCTAATTGCTTCTCTCGACACTCCCCCCTTACTTTATGTTAAGGTGCAGTGAAAACACCAAAAAACACGAGAAATCATAAAATTCAGGAAAAACTCGAATGCGCCATGTTGATGTAAGTTATTCCGCCCTTGTGTTCGGTTGAATTGGAAGTATCGGGCAGTCTTCTAGGCCTAATGCACCTTAAATTTTGTGCTCTTTTCATCTGCGCAAAGCGTTTTGCAATCAACGGGTTAGATCTTCCAATCGAAGCAAAATAAGTAACCCCTGCACCTCCCTCGCGCATGGCTTCACGCGCTTCCTAGGCCGTTGCCGCCCCCTGGTAAGTGCAATAAATATTGTATTGCATTAGCGCATTTATCACTTTATCAGCGTAGTTATCATTTTATCACACCAAAACTGTGATAATCTAGACCCAGACCGGCCAAAACCTAAGAGACTTATTGAATTTTTAATGCAATAATTTTTTTATTGCTGCCACATGTGCGATAATTTGAAGGAATCACATCAGCCTTTTTACCGCAGCAAATTATATGAAACTTATCACATTAGAACTACCAGTGTTACCACGGAGTGTTCTACTCATTGCTTCGACATAAAATTCTGTGACAGCTTGCCGAAGGCAAGCAGGAAGCGCCACAGGCCAAGCAGCGAGTATTCATCTTGGAGAGCACTTGTGTGAAAGGTGCCCTGCGAGAGGCTAGGAGGTGCCGAACCGAACGGAGACCCGAAGCCGAAGGCAAGCCGAAGGCCCCGACTCGGCCCGAAGCCAAAGCCGAAGGTGCCATATGAATTTCAATTATTCTGATCATGCAACTAAAGTCACTAAGTCACTCATATTGCTTGGGGAAAAGAAGAAAGGATGTCCACAAACTCAAAACTAATTTTGGAAAAATATTTTAAAAATATACGATGGGGAAAAATTGCCATAAGTCAACAACAAGCTAGGGCCCGCCCTTCCGTCGAACCGAGTTGCCAGCTCCGCTTCGCTGCGCCGGCAACTCGGTTCGACAGGGGGCCGGCCCAGCTTGGCCTGCCGGCGGCCTTTCCTCGGGCCTTCGGCCCTCGCATCAGACCCAACTTGGCCAGTCGAAGGCCCGGGCCTTCGGCCCGCTCGCATCACACACCCCGTGAGCGGCTAAAGCAAAGTTATCGATGTACCATCGTGACTTAGGCCCGCCCTTCTATTCACAATATGCGAAAGTCCTTACACTCTTTACTCCAACTGTCCTTAGAATATGCCCATTTCATCTGTTTCTTAGCCCTCATTCCGAAAATACCCATATTTGCCATGCTACTGCAACTCCTTGCAATCACAGCAGGAGCGCAAAACGAGTCCGTCGCACTTTTTCCCATAACTCATGAAGGCGGGCTCCTGGACCCCTCTTCCGACCCCTCGTTGAAGAGGTCTTTCCAAGACCTATCGAAAACTTAAGTAAAAATTTTCAGTCGGTCGACCCCCTTTTTTCAAGATCCTGATGTGACTAATAGACGAAGTCGGGCTCCTGGACCCCCTTTCCGACCCCTCGTTGAAAAGGTTTTGCTGAGACCAATCGAAATCTGCAATAAATTTTTTCAGTCGGTCGACCCCCTTTTTTGAAGATCCTGATCGGGCCAACTTGTAAAAGCGGCCGATGGGGTCGGGACCAGGTCCATTCATCTTGTCTCGTCGCCCCGATTCCAAAAATACCCCTATGTGCCCTGCTAGCACCAATAATGGCGGAAATCCCCCTCCCGCTCATGTAAACCATGATGCACCTGCAGCAGCCCTTGTGCGACCCGGACGGGATTTGCACCACCGGATTATTTGTTTGGACGGTACTCCTGAAGTACCCTCCAAATCTGGTTACTCTAGCTCAACTCCTTCCTTGTACACAGACACCAACAACGACAACAACAACAACAACAACACACAGACACAAAGGCAAATGCATAGGCCCCCCCCCTATTTTTTGAATAGAAGGGCGGGCCAAAAATGGTGACATTTACTGGCCTAATATTTCTTTTTTTGTTCCAAAATGTGAACAAGTGCATCATTTTCGCTTCTTAATTCTGTTGACAACTATCTAAGAAACTTCGGAAGAAAAAGAGAGATAAATTATCAGGCCGAAGACTAGACCTGACCATAACTGTTGCGCGGAATCTCTTAAACTAATCGATGAGAGATTACGACAACTCTGGAAGCTTACCACTTTCTTTAAATTTTGTTTGTGCATGTTAGATGTTCTACAATACATTAGTCATACTCGCAACTTCTTTAGTACAGGATTCAATGGACAACTAATACGAATTGTTTTATATTTTGTGTTAATAGGTGTTTTTCTCCCACACCTCACCTTGAGCTATCATTTCATTTTAGCGTTAAGCTAAAGTGTCTCTTGCGACTGACTTTTTGACCTCAATGTCTGGTCCGAAGAATTTTAAGTCTCTGCGTCTCTGCAAACTTTCGGCACTTGCATTAAGGGGGCACACCAGTGAAAATCGGCAAATTTTTGCCTTCTCTTTTATTTTACAGTCAAACTCCTCGTTTTGTCCCTCATCTGGGTCCTTCGTTTTGTCCCAGAGTCATCCCCACCACTGTGGCGCGGGTCGCGCCCCGTCGGCCGATGCCTGCCGTCGCTGGCCGGCCAGGTAGGGATTACGGCGGCCTAATCCGCATCGGCCGGCCGGGCTCGGTCCTTCGTTTTGTCCAAAGCAACTCCCGGGTAGAGGGACAAAACGAGGAGTTCGACTGTATCTTATTTTTCTGCTATTCATCCCGAGTCGAAGGCCGCAAACCCCACCCAGAAATTCCGATTACTTTGGCTTGTGCACATTTTTAAAGTTGCTAAAAAGGTAATTATTTTTGCATTTTTTTGACCAATTGTTAACGTTTAGGGTTTTCACTTGAACTTCAATTACAAAACCCTTGAACCACCCAAACGCAGTTGAAAAGAGGGACATTTTGGCGCAAGCTGAACTAAAATACGTCAAAAGACGCATTTATAATCCGAAAAAAACACGTCAAATCTATGTTTCCCCTTAAAGGGCTTTTTCTCCAAACACCTTTTTTGTACCTTTGTGCCACTCTCACGGGCGCAAAAATGAAGATAATTTAATGCGGTTTGCGGCAAAATGTTCGTTACACTTGCGTCTATGGTCTGAACCTCGGAAATGGCCATCCCATAAAAAGGACGTGAGCTGCAGCCATGAAAGTGCGAAAAAATTGGTTAAAAAATTTGTTTCTATTTTTGCCCTCTGAAAAAACAAATTCGAAATCATTCTTTTGGCATGCCCGTGGTTCAGACCATAGCCGCATGTGTCCTGTTGAGAAATTTTCAAATCCCGTGCGCGAAGCTCAATCCAGAGAGGCGGAATCGTGGCAGGAGTGAAGCAAGGTCGTTGAAAAATGAAGTGCACTGGCGCTTCATCTTGCCATCGCCACCTCGCTCTCCCATACTGATTTTCCTTTTCTTTGACATAATTTTGAGCCAAGAATAAAATATCAATCGAATACATCGGTTACTTTTTTCAGAATGATCGTTTTTCGAAACCTCTGCATTTTCACTGGTGTGCCCCCTTAACGGAGTCTTGTTTTAGCAAGTTTGAGAAAAAAATTGGTTCGACTAATTTAAAAAAGCTAAACAAAAATATTCTGTTCTATCTTTTAATTTTTATCCAAATATTTAAAAAGGTTTGGAAAATAAGTTGAGTAATACAGTTCACATAATTCACTTGATGCAAGAGTTGTTTGTTGTTTTCTTTTTCCAACATATTGTCAAATTGTTAAAAAAAACACTTATGCGGCCCTTACATTTTATAAAATGCCCATGGTAACATAGTTTTTACCTCTAGAGTTAAAGAAATACATAAAATGAGCAAACACCACGACTTCGGGTTCGGTCAGTCGTTTTGGCCAGTTCGGGTCCTCCCGCGCTCGCTCGGGTTACGCTCGGGTCCTGAACCATCTAGCCTCGCGCAGTGCCTTTCACACAAGTGCTCTCCAAGATAAATACTCGCGGCCAAGCAAGGTGTAAACTCCAGGCGTGGATTGTCGTAACTGGCGCAGCATCGCGGAGCCTCTTATCACAAGACACGGTCTAGCGTACACCTACCTTGTGATAAAAACGTGGATGATATTTCCATCACTTTCAAAAGATGTCATCAATTGTTTTGATGACATTGTTGTAAGGAACAGAACAAGGAACTCAGCTACGTCATTGTCATCTAGTGATGACTGAAATTTTTACAGTATAGGTACCCCACCCTTCGTTTCAACGGCCTCTATTCGATAACCCCGACGAAGTCGCTACCCACATCCTAGTGGATGCATGGTGCATGGTTTCACGCGCTCCCTCGCTGTGAAAATTTGAGTCGTCACTAGATGACAATTTCAAGGCTGATTTTCCTTTAACAATGTCATCAAAACAATTGATGACTATTGTCACGATCATGCAAACAGTATCGGTTAGGTTAGGTGAAAGTATCGTCAATTTGTGATGAGATTGTCATCATTTGAAAGTGATAAAAATATCATCCACATTTTTGTCATAAAGTGACAACAAATATCCAATAGGTGTACCCTGCGCTGGCCTTCACTAGATTATTCCAATGAGACGGTGACTATGCTAAATGGTCACTTACCGGTGAGCTCTCCATCTCCATGCCGACGATGCCGCGTGGGCTCCGCTACAACAATGTTGCTCCTCGCGCAGCGCAGATCCACTGCAACTTAAGGCGTCTCCGTTCCACTTTTGTCCCAGGTGGGTCCTCCTAGATCCCGTTAGGGGCCCGGGCAAAAGCGCGGGATGGGAGAGGGACAGCGAGTTGCGATGACAAGAGAAGCGATCTTTAGTAGGGTCATTCTACAGAAATGTTACAATTTGATGTCCCTGCCCCTTTGTGACGAAACGGTACGTCCTAGAAAGACGCGGTTTGCGCGTTAAGATGGTGCTGTTTGTGCTTCAAAATGATCCACTATTGGGTTTGAAAGTTTCTGAGGTTTTCAGATGGCTGTGGCCTCCGGAAGGTGCAAAATGTAAACTCCGTAGCTGTCCCGATGCGTAGTTGACTAAGTTTGCGCCTCTCGTATGTCTAAACGAGACGCAGGACAATCATTCCCGACAGCTCTATTTGCTAAGGCACTTTCATACTTTAACTTGACCCCGCTGACTGTACTAAAAAGTTTGAAGCTTTGTACCTGCACAGAATTAACTTTTGTCCCGAAGTTTTTACTTCTCTAAAATCCACATGTGCACTGTAACGAGTTTGGCACTACAGGAGACAAACGGGAAGTCGCAGCCTCAATCTGAAGGCTGCAATGGATTCCGGATGAAAAAACACATCTAGCCACCAAGTTTGAGGGATGTGAGTCCAATGGCTAGCATCTTATTGATACCCAAATTTCAAAAAGGGGGTCGCGTATTTTTTTTGCATGTAAACTCCGTACCCGATTTGCTGAGGATCCCCTGTGCGTCTAACTTTCGAAATGTGCATAAAAACAATGCTTTGGTGGTCCTTTAGTCAGCTGTGTATGCGCGTTCTACTGTTCCAACTCATACGGCTGCAATCCAGGTATTTGCTTCAAAATGTAAACTCCGTAGGCGTCAATTTATGTAAACTCCGTAGACATTTCACCTATAATTTCAGGGGGAAAATTTTTTTCTCGAAAAGTGTGACGCCTGATATTGTTTCGCATTCTGCATACCGTTACAAGAAAAACAAGCCCAATATGAATGAAATCGGACAACTTTTAATTTTTCACGGTTCTAACTGCGAAATTGTAACATTTCTGTAGAATGACCCAGTAACGGATGAATCATCAGTAGGGCGCGACGTCACAGGGCGTGACGTCACAGATCCTTATTCCTATGCAAAAAAACTCTTTTTTGAGGCACGAAGTAGCCTTATAGTACACCGAGGGTTCAGCCGGCGGGAGATTCAATTCGCGTGGCCCTTTATGCATTTTGGAAATTTTCTATAGGATTTTAATGAGATTTTGCAAACTAGTAGAACTTTGAACGCTGATTCTGATGTTGAAATGTGGTTAAAAAGTTAATGACCAATTATGAGAAATTTGCTGTCAAAATCGACGTTTCCATGGCAAAACTCGACTCGTCAAAGCAAAAAAAAAAAAAAAGGGAGGGGGGGGGGAGCCCGAGCCGGGGCGGACCAATAGCTGAGCTTCTTTTCGGTTCTGTACAGCTTACTCCAAAAGCTGAAATAGCACGTTCGAAATGTAAAATTTCTTTGACTGCAGGTAGAGAAGATGCAACAATAGAATTACACTGTCATTCATTTTGCGATACTTTTACTACAAATTTTTGCGATAAAACCCAGTTTGCGATTCCCACGATTTATCGCACCCTGGAGTGCGATAATTTTGTTATTGCAATTTTTTCGCAATAACCACCCCATAATTTTTGCGATAAAAGAGCGTATTGTAGTATTTTTTATCGCATTTTTTTCTGTGATAACTTTTTATTGCATTTTCTTCGTAGTCATTATCGCAACAAAGTGATACTTTATTGCAAAATTTAGCTATAAATTTTTTATTGCAGATTTCTAGTAGTCATCATAGCAAAAAAATGTGATAAGTTTTTAATTGCAAAATATATACAGTGGTTATCGCAGTTTGAATAACAGTGTAGTGTCGGTTCGAACGCAGTTTTTCGGGTAGAACAGTTAAACCAACTGTAGCATTTGAAATCTGTATACAGGGTTAACCTCATATCAGCTTAACCAGTCGAGATATCGAAAAAGACTTCAGAACCAATCTTGCTTCAAATTTAATTTTAGACATAATACATTTTATGAAAATTTTTGCTACTGCGGTTTTTAGGCGAAAAAGAATGAACGTGTCCCACTTTAGGGGACTTTGTCTCACTTTAGGAGACTTTGGCTCCTAATTTGGGACACGGTTCTTGCTGCTCCTACCGGAGCCCCATGGTCTGAAAAATTTTTTTGTTTTCGGTAAAAGACGTGTTTTGACATGAAGATTCTTAAATCCCCGGCGATTTTCGGTGCTATCATTATTCTGTGAATTACAGGCGATTTTCCGTAAAAGTCGTCCCACTTTAGGGGACATGACGGTATGTCAATTCGCATCGCTCAGCCACACTACGCGCCCAGACTAAACGGCGCGTACCCCTAGTTTTAAGAGGTGGAGCCAAGGTGGTCCCCCTTGTGGGGCCCCGTGGCGCCCCCCACCCCAGTGGGGCCCCCTGTTACCTAGATTCTAAACGAAGCGTCTTAGAGAGTTGCGGTTTGGCTCATTCGATTCAGCGCACCAAACGTCGGATTAGACGCCTCGACCATGCTTTACAAGCCCACGGGGAACCCCCAGGGCCGGTTGCCCATCTAGAACGGGTTAGTTAGCGGTTAGAAAATGTTACGTAGAATCTGAACGGAGCGTCGTAGAGAATTGCGGATTAGCTCATTCGATTCAGCACACGAAAATACATCGGGTTGGACATCGTGACACCCTCCAGAGACTTTCAAGGCTGGTTGCCTACCCAAAACAGGGTTCAAAATTGATTTTTAGAGACGGTCTTCTAGATTCTAAACGGAGCGTCGGAGAGACTTGCGGTGGGGCTGAATCGATTGAGCCCAACCGCAACTCTCTCCGACGCTCCGTTTAGAATGTAGGTGACCGTTCCTAAACATCAATTTTGAACCCCGTTTTGGGTAGGCAACCAGCCTTGAAGTTCCCGGCGGGAGTCACGATGTCCAACCCAATGTAATATCGTGTGCTGAATCGAATGAGCAAAACCACAATTCTCTACGATGCTCCGTTCAGATTCTACATAACATTTTCTAAACGCCAATATCCCGTTCTAGATAGGCAGCCGGCCCTGGAGGTTCCCCGTGGGCTTGTAAAGCATGGTCGAGGCGTCTAATCCGACGTTTTTTGGTGCGCTGAATCGAATGAGCCAAACCGCAACTCTCTAAGACGCTTCGTTTAGAATCTAGGTAACAGGGGGCCCCACTGGGGGGCGCCACGGGGCCCCACAAGGGGGACCACCTTGGCTCCACCTCTTAAAATGATCCTTGGGGTCACAACTACAATTATGTGAAGTGGCATTCCGGTATAACGATTTGCAAGGTGGGATCTGCTAACCTCCGGACTATAGTACAAACTTAAGGGGGGACATCACTCCAAAATGATCAAAAATTGCAACTTTTTTTATAAGTTAATATTATAGAGCATTCTTTTCTGCGTCAAATGGTGAAAACCGCATTCCGAAATTCAAAAAATTGCAGTTTTAGGAGGTGTGGGCCGCAAATATGCATAGGGGAAAAGCCTAGTTTCCCCAACTTTGATCACGTTTTTCTCGAAACATGAAATTGCAAACGGTTGCAGGCCTGTAGGGCGCAGTTTTTGAGCTACAGCGGGGAGATTTAGCATGGAAGCTCCTACGACATGCCGCTATGGTAGGTAGCAAAATAATTTGCATTGGTCAATTTATATTATTTTTTTAACGTTCAAACTTAAACAATTTTGACCAAAAAAATTGAACATTTTTTTTTTGTATGTAACAAATACAACTTAAAATTATTTTTTAAATGTGCGATTGAGGTACCCACAGGAAGGCTATCACCAAATTTCGTTGTTCTAGGTCAAACCGTGTGGCGTCCAGCGCTGCAACAGTACGAAGGTCTAACCTAACACTCAAAAATGTGTTTTCAACGAAAGCGCTGTACTGCCCTGGCGGATTGACTTTGTGTTGTTTTATACTTTATCTGTTAAAATATGAACAATTTTGCTCTTTCCGTTTGGTTTTTATGACGTTTTTACAAAAGCACTGTTTTTGGAGTGATGTCCCCCCTTAAAGAGCGAAGCTCAGTCTTTCTGTCCGCAAGAAGGGAGGTTCGTGTGGAACTTTGTTTAGGCACGAAGTAGCCTTATAGTATACCGAGGGTTCAGCCGGCGGGAGATTCAATTCGAGTGGCCCTTTATGCATTTTGGAGATTTTCTATAGGACTAATGAGATTTTGCAGACTAGTAGAACTTTGAACGCTGATTCTGATGTTGAATTGTGATTAAAAAGTAAATGACCAATTTTGAGAAAATTGCTGTCAAAATTGCCGTTTCCATGGCAAAACTCGACTCGTCAAAGAAAAAAAGGAGTGGGGGGAGCCCGAGCCGGGGCGGACCAATAGCCGAGCTTCTTTTCGGTTCTGTACAGCTTACTCCAAAAGCTGAAATAGCACGTTCGAAATGAAAAATCTCTTTGACTGCAGGTAGAGAAGATGCAAGAATAGAATTGGTGTCGGTTCGAACGCAGTTTTTCGGGTAGAACTATCCAATAATACTTCTTGATCGGAGTGTTTTTGGACGTTCCCGCCCATTTTTCCCAAAAATAAATTCCCAAATATTGGCTTCCCAAAATACATTTTCCCAAAGCAATCCTCCCCAAAATTAAAGTCCCAATCCTATATTTTCCAATCCATTGTTACCAATTTAAGTTTCCCAAAGTTACGCCCAAAAGTTTTCCCAAAATCTTCCCTTATGTGCCCATGAACTCCAGAAGGGAACAGGCGGAGGTCATAATGACCGAAAAGGGGGTGGTGACGAGACTCCGGAAGAACAGTGTGAATGATGGTTTTGATGAGTACCAAATTCTGGGCGAGGTATTCTCACTCAATCACCTAAATCTGGGAGAAGATTTTTTAATCATCTTACTTCGGTTATCAAAGGTTTCCTTCTTTAAGCGATAAAAGGCGTATCTGCTACCTACTAGCTAAATGTTTGGCGAGGAGACCTGCACGCGAATTCAGACGATACAAAAATCCTCGCCATCATGGGAAACAAGTATCCTTATTCAAAGGTGTAGTCCTGATTATGACTTGCTTGTTTATG